AAGCCCTTGGAATTAAATTCGGAAAAATTAATTTCCGACCTCGCTGGGATTCGAACCCACGACCTTCGGAATTGTACTACCGATGCTCTACCAGCTGAGCTAGAGGTCAGACTTTTATGCGTGCGCAATATCATCCAAGCTTTTAGAAGACAACTGGCGCATGCAAAAAGAAAACTCATAAGAAAACTCGTTCCTATTAAACATCTCTGTAATTTTCGTAATTATCGTCGTCCCGACGAAGTAGGTTTTGGTGGATGTCAGTCGAGGCGTTTCCATGACATTCTTAGGCACATGCCCTTGACATTGTGTTTTCCGACCGTCTACCAAAACCATATTTTGTCACGTTGGCAAATTGTACGATTCCGCTAGTGCTATTGAAAAGCGATATAAATAGAGGTTATCAATAGGCTAAGCATCTGATACGGCTGTGTATTTTTACGAGTCACGAGTAGATACAAGTGACGAGCAAAAATACATAGCCGTATGAGATACTTAGCCGATTGATAAGTTGTTTATTATTTAATTCTGCAAAGTAAAGCTCAAACTCTCAATAAAACCCTATCGTACCCAGCGCGAGCTGATATAAGAAGTGCTGATACGGTCTCATATCAGGCATGGTCTTTTTCCATATCATGCACGTTCTTTGCAGAATCAAATGATAAAATGGAGTACTGATAGAAAAGTAGGGTAAGGAAATACCGTCGACCACTTTTAAACCAGGCTTTCTTACTGGACCCACCTCTATCTTTGCTGACTTCTGATCTCTTTTCATCTTCTCATTCAAGGCATTCAAGGATCTTCAGTCATTTGTTCAGTTCGATGGATGTGCTCTATATTACCTACTCAACTCTACCAAGATTCACAAGTCTCCTACTCCKTATGGCTTCTGTCTTGTGGTAAGTGATATTCAAGCTCTTTTTTCACACCAGATTAGCCTTATTTGAAACCATCGCGTAATGGTTTCCAACTCATTCAAGTGTTCTCTTAGCATCGCGAGAGTATCTAAACAGAATACGGTATCATTTTTATAAAATAACGCACAAAGCGCACAAATAGACAATCACAATTTTCCTTAGAAACTGCAAATTCAAAGAAAAAGATGTGAGCATTTTAGATGCTCTCATCTAAATGTATATGGCAATTCAACTAATAGATCCCTGCACTAAAAGTCCCTTTCACAGTTCCCTGCGCCATCTCTAAAGGTAGCCGTGCCTTTGCATCGAAGCGAGACAAACGGTGAGCTTGCAATGAACGATTATTCACTTGTCTCTATCATTACAAGCTCACCGTTCGTCTCGCTTCGATGCAAAGGCACGGCTACCTTTCAAGATGGCGCAGGGAACTGTGAAGGGGACTATTCCCAATCTGGGTACAAAACTTGAGCATTGAAATTTTCGTTGTTAATATTCTTCATTGTTTTGAGCCCTTGGTAGGGATTTTGTGCAAGGGGCTTATAGAACTTAGTTATATATTTTTTGATTATTTATTTAGATTTTGGTAAACCTATTTTCATTTATGAATTTATCTATTTTAGCCATTGAAAGCCAAAGAACTCAAGGAAATAAAATGTTTCTGTTGCGAAGACGAGAAGTCGTTTCTTAGCTGGATGACAGGCATACGTCTGGCTAAGGTAAAATATTGTGTATTGAAAGTATTTTATATTATCGAGGCCATTGTATGTATAAAATTAATAAAACAAATTTCGTATGAATATGAAAAATTCTCGGTACGCACATGCAGTACCGTGACCTTGACGGTCCGGGTGCCGAAGCATTCTGATTGGAGGAGCAGTGATTTCGCGCGCTCTGATTGGCCCAACGGACGTCCGTCGTTAGGTTTCTTCCTTGATTCAAGGGTTTTTCTACAGGTTCTCCAGTTTTCCTCTCTCAGCAAAACTCAACAATTCGATCTGTGGATTAGCTGTAAACCCTGACTTAGATCAGTCCAGAGGTTGTTTCAGTGTTCGATCTGTGAGTTAGCCGTGCTCTGAATTAGATCAGCCAAGAGGTTGTTTTAGGGTTTGGTCTGTAAGTTACTCATACCCTGACTTAGATCAGCCCAGAGGCTGTTTTAGGTTTTGATCTGTGAGTTAGCCATGCCCTGACTTAGATCAGCCCAGAGGCTGTTTTAGGTTTTGATCTGTGAGTTAGCCATGCCCTGACTTAGATCAGCCCAGAGGCTGTTTCAGGTTTCTATCTGTGAGTTAGCTGTGCCCTGACTTAGATCAGCCCAGAGGTTGTTTCAGGGTTTGATCTGTAAGTTACTCATACCCTGACTTAGATCAGCCCAGAGGTTGTTTCAGGGTTTGATCTGTGAGTTAGCCATGCCCTGACTTAGATCAGCCCAGACGTTGTTTCAGGGTTTGATCTGTGAGTTAGCTGTGCCCTGACTTAGATCAGCCCAGAGGCTGTTTCAGGTTTCTATCAGTGAGTTAGTCGTGCTCTAGCTAGGCTTCGTGGAGCCGAACGTAACTGTGGTTAACCAAAATGAAAGTCGGGGCTGCACGCACGCTAGCCGTGCCCTGACGTAGCTCAGTCCTTAGTTTATTTCAGGGTATCGTTAAAATGTTTTTGAACTAAGTGATACCATGGCACTGTAGTCTTTAGTCATTTACTACGACTACCAGAATCCTTTGATCCACTATCTTTTGCAGCAATTGTTTTACTATTCTCATGAGGGAATATATATTTGAATAAGGAAGAAATTTCGCGAAGCATTTTCGGGTAGTTGCAGTAAAATGACACCATCATACTATTCCCGGAACGCGGAAAACGCTCAATAAAAAGCTCTTTATTAACTGATATGAMGGCGAGTTCGTGGGAAATAGACCCCTTTGGTTTGGGCTAATGTTTTCCCATTTCAGACCACGTGTACTTCCCTTGAGAATAAGATTCTTTGTTTAAGTTGTATCCTTTTCATGTATCTTCTTATGTGCAACCGAGCGCAAACCTTAAACAAAGAAATGATACTCTAGGGAATGACATGTGGTCTGAAATGGGAAAACATTACGTCAGAGCCTAAGATGTCTATTGAACCCTCCTTGTGGTAATAGATGAAATCCGATTATACACAGCCATACCTCGCATTACCCTCGCAGCAGCCTCTTTCTTCTCTCGTTAGGTGTGTTTGAGGATTTCGTTCTTCTTTCTGACCTCAGCTTCACACTCGGGTTCTCCCAGCAGGTACGACAATTTTTTTCGGACTCTTTCTGCTTTCGTTACGTGTTTGAGGACATTGTTCTTCTTCCTGACCTCGGCTTCACACTAGGGTTCTCTCAGCAGGTAAAAAAAGCTCCGGAAAGCGAACCTGCTCTCATTTACATTTACTGAAAAATCGCCAGAAAATCTGTGTATGCCCTCCGAGAAACCTGATGATCGCGTGATTACGAGCAACTAATAGCATCATACGGGATTTAGATTATTTTGAGGGGAAAATATGACGTCATCCATGAGACAAAAAAGTATACGTCGATGACGTAGGTTAAGATGACCTTACTCCCACCGTCTTACACAGATGGTAAAGTATTTTCATTTCATACTACACTCACTTACTGCTAAAAATATATTTATGTATGTAGCTTTTATCGTGACAATAGCCATGACGTAATCACAGATCCAAAGGAAATTGATTGTCCTTTCATTGCCAAAACTGTCTTTACATCTCCTTACAACTGAACTAATAATGACGTTATTCTCAAATGGACGAGTTTTCCCCCTTTTCTTTAAAAAAAGACAATTCAAAGCTTTTATCAGTTTGGTTTTTTTCCTTTTTAAAGGCTCGTTATCTCAAGCAAGGCACCAATCCTCTTATTTCTCGTATTTGACAGCCTTAATTTGTGCTCCGAAAATCTTATCTTTAATCTTCCAGAATCTCACGTGACCTTCATCAGTAGCGGTCACACAAAAAATTTGAATATTGCATATTTTGACTAACAGCTGTCCATTGACCTTGGCTGGCTGCCTGATTATTAATAAGCACCGAGTTACGTCGTTCTCTTTGTAAAAAACATTTTTTCTTATCACCAGAACCGTCTGCACGAGTTTTGATTCTGTTGACCAATTCTCTAGGAAATCACTTTTTGATATGCGGAAAAACTCCTCTCAGCTTCCTGCCCGTTGAACGATTTTTTTAAAGCGTTTCCGTTTGTTCTTGGAAACCCAAATGAGTCACTCTTGAATGTGGTTTTCTTTGATGCTCACTTGGTACTGACGTAACGTAATCGAGAACAAACCCCTTGTACTCCGACGCGACTCATTTCGGTAATGTTGCGAAAATAAAGAGAATATATTAGCAGTATCGGTAGAAAGACTGGATTTATAGAAGAAACTTTGCTATGTTGAGACAGAAAAAGGTAAGACTATCATAACCGTGAATTTATGTAGAAAAGTATTTTGTACTTTTACAGTAAGCTTATATCTTGTACTTTTACAGTATTAAGGCCTATATAAATAATTGAAGAAATAACATCTCTAGCTAGTTTTTATAAAATTGCTGTGTCGTAGGCCTTCACTGAGCTCTTGAAAACCTGGAGTTCATTTTATTGAAATAATTGTCTTATCTTATGAGTATTGCTAATATAAAAGCCTTAGAATGTATTAAACCAGCCAAGCGACAGAAAAATCTTCACATTTTGATTAATGTTCATGGTTGTCAGACGTTTTATTTTTATCGCGCGAGAGAGTGGACGGAGTTTCTTCTAATGGCTTTAAGTCCATGTGGATTAGAACTTAGTGGTATTGGGTCTAAGTTATCTTAAACCAAATTTATAGTATTTCCTTGTTGTTTTTTTTATTTTTTTAGCAATTTTGCTTATGTATTGAATAAGTGGTGATAACTAGTAGAGAACTAGTGTAGACTGCGTCGGTGTTTCTGAATAAAGTAGTAGGAACTTGTGGATAATTGGATCACCGTAAAAAGCTTTGTGAAACTGACGTTTCGGACGTTAGTCCTTCGTCGTATTAAATAGTTCAGCAACGTTTTATATTCTTAATTCTAAATTCCAATACGACCTCCACCTGTAAGTTAGCCGTTAGTTAACTTAGATCAGCCCAGAGATTGTTTCAGGGTTCGATCTGTGAGTTAGCCATTCCCTGACTTAGATCAGCCCAGAGGTTGTTTCAGGGTTCTATCTGAATTAGCCATGCCCTGACTTAGATCAGCCCAGAGGTTGTTTCAGGGATCTATCTGTGAGTTAGCCATGCCCTGACTTAGATCAGCCCAGAGGTTGTTTCAAGGATCTATCTGTGAGTTAGCCATGCCCTGACTTAGATCAGCCTAGGGTTTGTTTCAGGGTTTTTAAATTCTTTCACGACTTTATCTGTATTTTTGAGCTTTGAGTAAAGGGTCTGTTTTGGAAACAATTATCTTACAAGAAAGTCAGTTTAATTCGTTTTTTTAAGGGTTATTTTTACTTTCATTCTCCCATGTTTTTCTGTCCCCTATTTTCACAATCACAGTATATGTYAGTACTGATGTCACATTTTCATTGAGGTTTTTCAACTAAGATATTTAAAAAGTCTACAATGTTTCCACTGATGATCAGCCATCCCACGCTTGATGACGCTTGTAACGTTTAGCCAGACATCGATATTCAACTGCAATATCATTCAAGCTAGTCATTCAAGACTCCAATCTCGTACCCAGACCCTTTATTTTTTACTGCGCATGCTCGACGAAATAAATAAAGGCTCTGGGTACGAGATTGTCAAGTACTGTGCTTGACATGTAACGCAATCTCGCTCTTGTAACGCAAAGCAACTAAGATTTCTAAGAAAAAATATAGCACTTTGTTCGGACTTGTTTGGTTAGAGTATATATGTGTAATAGAGCTCTTGATTCTTCGATAAGTTATGAATATTATGATGGTAAGTACTCAGTAGAGTTTAGTACGAAATAGATCTGAAATCAATAGCCATTGCACTTTTTTGTGCTTTGTAGTGCAAGATAAATTTAGCAAGGTTTGACGGCAGGAATTAAGTTTTTTTTATCCGACGGATAAATCCTTATCCAGTGGATAAATTTATTGGATAAGAGCATCGACTTATCGACTGAATAAGGATTTATCCGCCGGATAGCGCTACCCACCCCTACACCCTTCGTATCACTGGGCCCTGGAGATTTTCTTCATCCTCCTTGGACTATAATATTAACTCCCTCCAAAAAGTGTCTCCAATATAGATTATTACTATTTCATTTGTGATATTCATATGTATCAAATTTTATTTCTTATCCCATTTTCATTGTTCCTGTTAGCTCAATGTATTGTATTCATTATATATAAATCTTTCCATTATTCAATGATTAGAAGCTATATTTCTTGACTAAAGATATTTCTTTTTCTTGTGTTGTTTTAGCTTGGTTCTCAACTGCGAAACAATTACGACGACATGATTCGAAAGTTTGCAAAGTTAGCGAAACTTAGTTCCTCTGTCACAATTCCGGTAAGTCAAGAAGTCAAGTAAAAAATTCAATATTAAATTGATGAATTAGCATGTACAAATTGATAATTCATAGTAGGAAGTGATATTGTTTTTGTGGAATGATTCATTTGATCAATGTTTCCTGAGTGCTCGTGTTGTTGTTAATCAATATTATTTATAATTCTGTATGCTAAGCGAGCCCTTATTTGGTCAGTCTGCAAGAAACATTGCTTTGCTTGATGCGGTCACGATCGCTCATGTCCTGACCCATGAGGCTCAATATGACAAGTCAATATTTGCCTTTATCTCTTTATCTTGCTTAGTTTCGCAATATGAAAACATATACTTTTATCTTTAGATATTATTTGTCAAAGAATGAGGAAAATGAAGTCAAAGAATTTTGATTGGAATTTATGAGGGCGAAATTTCGTAATAATTCAGGGAAATATTGCGAATTGGAAATAACTGAATAATTCTTAGACACTGGGAATATTTCGGCGTGAAACATAACACGAAAAATAGTTCTACTGATATTCAAGCTTCACTAAAAAGAATTTCAACTCATTTGTAAGAACTTCTTGTTAGTCAGTTTAGATAGTTAGATAGTTAGAAGTCACTTAAAAAATAAATATATAGTTTCGTATGTGTTTTTTTTTAGTTGTTGATGATRCTGACGACTGGTGTTGGTGTGCAAAGAAGGCGAATAATACTTGGTTATTAATAACTGGCTTTCTCTGTTCAAGTTTTCCAGAGCATAATACCTTTTTCTGTTTTTTTCTTCTCTTTGTCTCATCGTTTTAACGAGCAAATTCTACCTGTTTGTAAGAGTTTTCCGTCTCTTGTTTTTAATACCAAGATCGTGTGAATAACAGCAAAAATCCTGGGTAAATTATATCAAGAAAGAAATTGCGGCTCTTAGAGTTATAATATGACCTTTTTGAAGCCCGAGCACTTGATCTACCGAGTATGAATCAATCACAAATGAATCGATTGACCGAATACCTTGGCCATAAATAGAGTCAACTTCGCCCCCGCAACGATCGTTAAAATTTCTTTGACTGAGCAAGTTGACGCGAATCAGAAAATGACCCTAAATGCTATGAATATTGCTAAATATCGTGTTAATTTGTGACATGGATGATGGAGAAGGTAAGATTCTGGTTGATCTATCCAGTCCACTTGGACTTGCTAGCATGCTCCGGCGTTGGTATAAAATTCATGCAAAATGTAGATTGATTGTAGCTAATTTCATCTACCCGAGTGTTCAAAGTCGTTTGTCAAAAATACCAAGGAATCTACTGACTCTCTTCTTAATCCAAGGAAAGACTAGTTTTCAAAACTCATCCGAGTATCAATTGTTTCCTAACSGAGTTTGTAACTTCAAATCAGTGTATTAGACAGGTTGTCAGCCTAGTATCTCTATAGCTATAGAGTTGAAATAGTTAGTAGACCAATAGAGGTTAGAAGAGATACGACTAGCTAAAAACTAGAGGTTAGTAGAACTTAAATCTATTGTTTCCTTTATTTCGTGTTGATTTTTTGTTTCACGGGTTAAGTAGTGAAAATTTCGCTTGTTCTATATCTAGTTCTGGTTAAAAGTTTCACTTTTGGATTTCGTTTCCTTTCTTTAGCCGAAACCAGCCAAGGTACACGAGACGGTCCTAAGATCGCGTTCACAAACTACAGCCGCTTGTTTGGTACGTGAAGACAGAGTGGCCATGGATTTCACTGGAAGATATGGGAAAATAGTCACTAATACAAAAGAAATCGAAGAACTGAGTAACGCAAGACCGCCAAAGGTATGTTTAAAAAAAGCGTTACACACTAATGGACATGTTTCAGGAACAATAAAGGCTTTGAGTCTATTGTCATAGAACAGCCAGAGGATAATCCACTAGTATACCAGAATACATTGCGAGTGAGATATAATATTTAAAAAATTAGCATTCTTGAATCTGAAAAATCAATAGACCATTTTCGAGTTCCAAATTACCACTGTCTTTCTTGATTACAGACTCATTTACTCAGGCTAAGCCTCGATTTTGTGAAGAATATTCACGTTTTCCAGTCAAGGTCCGTCAAGTTTCAAAGTGTTCGTATTGTTGAACTTGTGCATTCTTTACTTTACCGTTGGTATTTGCGAGTAGTTAAACACTGATTCGAGGCTTAGCCTGAGCAAATGAGTCTGTAATCAAGAAACACAGCGGTAATTTGGAACTCGACTGAAAAGGGTCTATTGTACTTAGGTAGAATGTATGTCATGCCTTATACACAGCGGCATTTTAATGAGCCGGAAATAGACTATTCTCTTTAAGGGATGTTCTCGTTTTCGTTAAAAAATCCTGTTGCAGCGACAACGTTTTGACGCAATTACATTTGCGTAGGGGAAGGGGGACGGGGCAAAATGACCTACATTTTTCTGTGCGACGAGGTTGACTTACCTTTTTTTTCATTTGTTTTTTTTTTAGCGATTGAGTCGTCGTTTGTATGGCAGTCTTTTTATTCAGTCTTCGCAAAGTGTTGGTAAGAACATTAGAAGGTTTTATTGGAGTAGGCACAACATACTATCGACAAAGAACTAAGTAATCCGACAATGCCAAATAATATTTTGTGAAAAATTTGAGTTCTAACGCGGCCTCAGGAGTTTGATTGATTGGTAGAAATATCAAAATAGATGATCGAGAGTATCTAAAATGCGCAGTGATTGGTGAAAATATGATTTTAGATTTGAGTATCTAAGACGCTCACGTCTTTCTTTTTTTGTGCTCTCTCTTGTGCGCTTGTTACTCGCATCGTGGTTTTCCACGATTTTATCGCGTTTCGTCCCGCGTGTTTAGTGAATTGCCGTTTCTATTCAATTTAAAAAATCCGCCATTTTGTTTGCGCCCCCGAAAAGCCGAACCAAACAAATGGCCTTACGTCTTACGATATATTTTGACAAAAGTAATGAATATAAAAACCGGCATTAACGTCTTGCGCTTTTTACGGGGAAAAAAAAATTACTGTATAAAATCTAAAACGCCGCCCTTTTGTTGCTACGAGGAGGCGGGGGAAAGAACGACTGATTTAGAAACTTAATTTACTCATCTTAGTCATGTTATGAATTGCAGATTCTGATATCGATGAGGAACCGTGGTTTCACGGACTTGTGTCTCGAGAACAAACATTGAAAACAATGAAAGAAGAAGGACTAGAAAATGGGTGAGTCTTACGTGATGTAGATTGTACTGTAGTTATAACACATGCCCCGACATGCAACAAGTCCAACTCAGTTATTTAAAGAAATCAGTGTTGACGTAGCAATAGCGTAGCCTCCTACGCTCGCATCTCTATAGACCCCTTGCATGTGACGTCAAAGCAGCTCAATTCGTAGGACAAAACAAAAGATCTCATGAAAATTGGAAACCTTTCAGTCAAAATCTGAGATAATGTATGATAATGTATTTTTTTTACATGGGGAGGTAGTTACTATTGATGCGAATCAGTGTTATCGCTATTAACAGTCTGTATACGTTTTTAAGGTTATTCCTGGTTCGCAAAAGTTGTACCGCTAATGATGTCTTTGTCCTGTCATTTTGTATGAACAAGAAAGTCTATCACTGTCAAATGGTGCAGGTAAGGTAGTAATAGGGATAGATTGACATGTAGTCTGAAATGGGAAAACATTACGCACACCTTCACGCTTATAGTGACGACTGAACTCGGTGCATTGATTACGATTTCCTAGATGATTGACGGTGCCTTTACTCTCCTCCTCCCACTCGGGAACAGAAAACCTCTTTGTCATATCACTCTCTGTGTCTCATGTAATCTTGGGTCTTCGGATGTCTCGTTTTAAAGAAAACCTCGGCACCAAATATAGTGCGTCGTGACTGTGCTAAAATTCTGATTGCGCATTGATCTTAGCGTTCGTGATTTTCAACATATGGGCCAATTAAAATTTATTCTGTACATTCAGATCAGATTTCGTAAAAAGAGGCTCATTGGAAACTTACTTCACATCCGGTGCGCGCGCGGTAAAATGAAACCGGATATGACGTAAAAAACAGAAACCCAAAGTATCTGTTTATTAATCCTTCGCATACTAAAAATAATCTTTTTGACCTTCTTTTCAGGATATTGGGAATGGAAATGAGATGTGTTTTAGTCTAGATAAGGGACCCGCATTCCCCTGTGTGGCCGACCTTATTGAATACTACAAACAGAAGCCTATTAATGGTTTATCTGTTGCTTTAAGAAGGCCTTGCAAAAAAAGGCGGAATAGCTTGACTACAACAGAACCAGCAAGAGCATCGTCTGCAGAATCGTGACTGAAATAATTTWAAAAAAGATTATATAATAATTTTTACTAATATTGGTGTAGATAAATGGAAATTGTATTTTAATGCGCGAGGAAGCACACAATGTACATACAAATCATACCGGAAGTAAAGGCTTTTTATTTGCTTTACCACATGCAACCCAAGCAGTGTAATTGTGGCTCAGGTCAAACTAGTTTGGAATTTATTTGGAAATGTAAACGTTTTGCTTAGTAGAGAGATTTTTATGCTTTTCYGTTACACACTAAGTGATTCTAGAATTTTGAAAGATTCTGCTTGGGCTACCTGTGGCTTTACATTTTAAAGAGCTTATTCAGGGAGGTTGGGACAACCTTTGAAAATTGAAAATAAGTTGGTAATAATCATAGATGATTTATACATTGTAAATCTCTATCCCTTGAAATAAACTTAGTACTAACGCTGCTGCTAAAATCACTACTTATGTCACGATAACAATCACCCAGAAAACTGTGGTTGACTAGATCGCTTTTAGCCTCCTCTGCAGATATCTTCTTCGGGCTCCTCGGTTTTCCCGTAGAGACGAGAAAAAACGACGAGGGAGGGAAAGAGGAAGGAAGAAAACAGAAGAGGAGATGCTTCTCTATTTTCTCTCTCCCTTTCTCGTCCCCAGATCTTCTCTGTCATTTTTCAACACAGGAATCCCAATTACTTTCTGGAGAAAATAGCATGCGGAGGAGGCTAGATCACTTTGATATTTCAACTTTCTAATTTTCATTGATTACAAAACTTTAGCCAAGAGGTACCTCGTGTTCGTTCAGGGATGGTGTTACCAAATAGGTCAGTAGTTGAGGATGAAATGTTGTATTATATAAATGCTCCTGCCGCTTTCTATTGGCAATATTTTTAAAAGGAGTCTTGTAGGGGAGTTAGATAGGTTGAAAGCAATCACTTTCCTACCATCCTGCACCCTTATCCTCTGGCAAGCAATCCAGGCTACTAAGCCGCCTTAATACTGTTCTGGTTTCTTTACCCAGCCAACCACTTTCCAAGAATATCATATAATCTCTGAGCCTCTATTATCTCTATTATGTTTTCTTAAGTTTTGATTTGCAGCAGGCTCTCTTTTCAGTTCTAAATGGACATTCCGTTATTCATTTGAGCGAGCAATTGTCAGCATTTCTTGTCTAATTCAATATTTTCCCGCCGTACAAGTGTCACTCTTTT